GATAGTCTGCCAATTCATGCCCCGTGAAAAGCATAAGTGTGCCTTTTTGCTCGCGATGCTCCAGAAGTCACAATGGCCGACAGAGCAATGCACTCGCGTGGTAAGCCTGAGTACCCAGGTTCAAATCCTGGCGCAGGGAAAATTTTTTATTTTTTATTTTATTTTTATTTTTTATAAATTTATTTTTTTGTTTAGGCTGTTTATTGTAATTTTTAAATTTACTAAAAAAAAATATTTTTGTTAAATTTCTTTTTTTTTATAGCACAAGCATTCTTCTTAAATGTTTTTTTGCAATGCAATTCGATTTTCAAATTTGTTATTTATTTATAAATTGAATAAATTATTTTTACTTACAATTATTTAACTTAAAAATCCTTAACCACCTCCAAGCGGCCTCGAACCTGAGATTTCGAACCAGAACCAGTAGTCTTCACGTGACGCCACAGCCGACATTTGTAACAAAAGCAATTAATTGCGTTTAATTTTTGGCTTTGGCAATTCAAAGGCAGATGTCGCTGATCGCCTAAGTTCTTCGAAATTGGCGAACTGGTAGGCACATCGTAGTTAATGAACTAGTATTTTTTCTAACTGGTTTGGCTTTTCACTGCAGGGTACATATGTGCATATGTATGTATGAATCTATTTTGCATTTCAGCGCTGCTGGTAGCGGCAAAGTTAATAACAACGAACCCAATTTGCCACAGGGCGAAGACGACGACGTTGCTTCGAAGCAAGCGTGCTTGGTGTACATTCGTACATAGATATGTATGTATGTTTGTATGGATATGTATTATGATGAAGCAAACGTGGTTCATTGATATAATAATGAACATATGTATGTACGTACTTATGGACAGCAATAGACATGTTTGTATGTGTGTACATATCTATGTTTGTATGCATGGATATATGTATGTAGTACAAACGAAGACAAATCTAATCACCACCAGCCAAGGCGAATTATACAAGGCGGTGTTGGCAGAACATAAACAAAAATTACAATAAAGCTCACGCTATACAGTTCAATGCGAGTGTGGACATGATTTTTTTATTTTGACCAATATTTATACCCGAGCACACTTGTGCACAAGGGTATTATAACCTTGTTCACATAACGGTTGTTTGTAACAGGCAAAACGAATCGAGATAGATATTTATTATTATTATTAAAGTCTATGAAACATAAATTTCTTACAGACTATTGGAGCCTAAAAGCCTAGACAAACGGACTGAGTTGATTTGCATTCAGAAGCACAAATGCAACTTAAAATATCACCCTAACAGACGACAACTCTGTGCATTTAAACAGCTGATATTGACGTACATTTTGTTTGCTAAAATTGTGAAATTAAAATGGATAAAAGAAAAATGTTGTTATTGGCAGCTATGCTGTTTGTAAGAAATCAATATTTATTTAATGAAAAAATGAAACTACTATTAATTAAACTAATGGACAACCGAACTCGGATGAAAGCTCTCATAAACAGTAGCGCAATCCTACAATCCGGGATTGCAATTGCTCAGGCACGCGTACGGGAAGTTTGGAAATTCGTAAGTTATGTCTTTTTTATTAAACTGCAATTCATGAATTCCACCCTTCAAGAATCGCAGTGTCACATTTTGGGAGTACGACGTCCGTGCAATGGATGATACAAGATTTAGGGAAAACTTTCGTCTCGATAGAAGGGGTTTCCAAAAAGTGTGCGATAAAGTGCGCAGTATTGAGAAAATGGATAACAACATGAGGCGTTGTATTCCACTCGATAAGAGAGTGGCTATCGCACTTTTCTCTTTGGGCTCGGCAGCGGAGTACAGGACAGTTTGCAGTTTATTCGGCGTTGGCCGTAGTACTGTTGGTAAAATTGTCCTGGATTTTTGCCATGCAGTATGCAATAATCTTGGAGAATACATTAGTACATACTCCCCCCATCCACAAGAAATCAAAATAATCGTAGACGGGTTCGCAGAACTGGGCTTCCCGCAATGCTTCGGAGCTGTAGATGGCTGCCACATCGAGGTTCAGCCAAGAAAAGAGGATGCGATAGATTACTACAACTACAAAGGATGGTATTCTGTGGTTTTATTGGCAAGCTGTGATCACAGGTAAATTTATGAGTATATTTTATTGTATAGATATGTACATATATTATATTTCTTCAGACTTTGCAGATCAAAATTTACGTATTTAAATATTGGATCAACTGGGAAAAATAATGACTCGTACATATTTGAAAGAAGTTCGTTAAAGCATTTCCATGAAAGTGCTGATATTTTTGTACAAAATAGCAAAGTTATTAACGGCGTCAATGTGCCTGTGCTACTTATTGGCGATTCTGCCTTTCGTTTATCGCGCCACATGATGAAACCATACCCATATGTAGCTAATCAACCGGCTGTTGAAAAACTCTACAACTATCGACTTTCCAAATGTCGTCGACTGATCGAAAATGCTTTCGGGCAGCTGAAAGCCCGTTTCCGAAGAATAGGCAGAGGTTTACAGGTAGCGGCTAAAAATGTCAACATTGTTATAAGAGCATGCTGTATTTTGCACAATTTTTTAAAAACTGAGAATGACGAAGTTTCTTCCGTCTGGCTGCAAGACTCTGCAGAAGACGCAGCAACCAGAAATCAACCCAATCAATCTATAAGGATTGGAAACAATGACCAACTAGCAGCGACTATTCGAAATGCCATCGCTATGAGTTTTGGTAAGTATGAAATACTTTTATTATGCATTTAATAGTAGTAATATTAAACAAATTTTTATTAGTATTGAATTCATTTTAGTTTAATACTGTCAGTAGTTCTCAATTCAACCGTTTTAAGTTGCAAAAAGTACTGCTTTGAAATTTTCAAACTGTTATTTTTTGCAACTTAAAACGGTTGAATTTAGAACTACTGACAATGTTGAGATTAAGCAACTGCAAAAAGTTATAGCACCTTTTTCATTTTGGCCAGTTTTGACTATCTACACCCCGCGACAAAAGATAGCACACCTACATTTTTACCAGTTTTGACTACTTTTCTTTTGCCTTTTTAAGGTTCTTTATTTTTATATAAAAGTATAGCTCTTTATCTAATAAATACCATATAAATCTAAATTTCAGA